CCTCCCGAGTGCTGGGATTAAAGGCGTGCACCACCAACGCCCGGCTCCACTTTGATTTTTATGTCATTTACTCACACCCTTGTATCACCTGCCATTCTCTCTCAAATCTGTCCCAGTCAGGATTTCGGCTCACTTCTACTAGAACAGCCCTTGGGCCAGTGATCTGCATTAATTGAAATCCAGTGGGCAGTTTCAAAAGTTCTCACCTCATTTGACTTAGCACCCTTTGCTATGATTTCCTGTTCTCACATCCTTTGCTTATTGGCTCCCAGAACATTATATGCTCTTGGCTTCCCATTTACTTCACAATCATACCTGAGAATACTTTGTGGCCTTCCTTCATAACAGCATTCAATTTTGAGTCTTGTGAGAAATTGTGGTTATCTTCTAGTGATAAGAAATCTTTCAGAGCTGTGGTGGTGAACACCTTTAATCCCAGTACTCTGGAAGCAGAGGCAGGTGGATCTCTTGAGTTCAAGGCCAGCCTGGTCTACAGAGCGAGTTCCAAGACAGCCAGGGCGACACAAAGAGAAACCCTGTCTCAAACCTTCCCAACCTCCAAAAAGGAGGGAAAAAAAGAAAGGAAGGAAGAAAGAATCATACTGACTTTTTCTTCACTATTTCTGTAGTGTTCAGCCATTTTTCAATGCCTACTTTGCTATTGTTGATTAGAAGCATAGCCTTGCAAATCAGCAACAAAAATCTAATATCCTTTGGATTTATATGACAGTAGTATTGACTGTATGTTTCTTCTCTTGCTCTGATATCTCTACATTTAGTTCCAAGTTCAGCTCAAGTAGTTGCATTTTCTCTTTCCAGTAGACTGAAATCAGAAACCATGGAGGCAGATATCACAGATCTTCAATGCAAGCTCAAAGAGTGTGAAAACGAAAGATTGAAAGCTGCACAGTATGGCTTACAGCTATTGGAGAGGCAAACAGAGTTGCAGAATCAATTGGATAAATGTCATGAAGAAATGATGACCATGACTGAGGTAGGATTCCAAATACCTGTCTACAAGGATATGGTTAGGGAATGAGAATGAAGTAAATGTGTTTCCAGTGTTCTTTCCAACAGTGTGCTCTGGGTTTGACTAGTCAAATAATGCTTGTTCCCTTTGCTACATTTACTGCCAGGTTTTGTTCAGTCTACGCTCTATTTACGTGACCTCACTTCTTTTATAGTTTTAAACATGCTCCATGGCATCTCACAAGCCTTTAGTTCTCCCTGAAGGCTAAATTAGTGTATTCAAGTACCTGCCATTAATGGACGTCTCAAGCTTGACACAGAAAGAACAGCTCATTCCCTGTCTGCTAACTGAATGGTTTCTTGCTTCAGTAAATGGATTGATATTCATCCAGTTGCTTGAGCCTGAAGTATGGAAGTCCCACGTTTTATCAGTCAACAAATCTAAGGACTCAACTACATCTTAGGGTTTCTATTACTGTGATGAAGGACCATGACCAAAAATAGCTTAGGGAGGAAAGGGTTGATTTCAAGTCAGTCAGCAGAGCTAACACTGTGTAATGTAAAGTTGTTCAAATTTGCTCTTGATTCTCTGGGGTGCTGCTTGTCTCAGTCTGCAAACTGCATGAAAGAAAATTTTGTCTTCTCTTATTCACTGATGCACCCTTGTTGCCTTGCACACAAATATTTTTATTTTTGGTTGTGAGCCTAGCCTTTAACAGCTGAACCTTCTCTCCAGCCCCACAAATATTTTTAAAATGACTAAATCAGTATAATACTAAATACTTGATATTTTAAATTTGAATCTCAGAAGTTTAAATATAACAGGTAAAAATCACTAATGGCAGTTGTCAGTTTTACAAGTACTGCACTGTTTTTCGATATGGACTCAATGTCAAATAATAAAACAAAGATCACAAACCTCAGATTGGAAATATGTTACACAGTTGTTTTGAAAATAGCTCACCAAATTTAGGTTTCCTTTAATATAGAAGAGCTTGGGGGGTGGGAGATGGGACAGTGGGAATGACATAAATAATTCCAACCAGTTTTCTTAATTGAATTTTATTTATCGTTGTTTTGTTTCATTTTAATGATTTCATTTATTCTTTGAAATTTTTATACAATATATTTTGATCATGTTTTTTTTTTTTTCTCATGGAGTTCGATTTGTGTTGGTTGACTATTCCTGGGTATGGGTTTTGTCCTAGAATGTGGTTGATAGAACCAGTGTCACTCCACTGAAGAAACTGATTTCCCTTCTCCCAGCAGCTATCAGTTGCAAACAGCTTCTTGGATGGGGTGGGACTTTTGTGTCCTCTTCCCTTCCTCTGTGGTGGAATTTTGCCTGCAAAGAGTTTATGGAGGTCTTGTACATGCTGTTATAGTTTCTATGAGTTCATATGTGCATTTGCCCTGTTGTATCTGAAAGTGTTTCCTTGAGGTCATCTACTACCTCTGGCTCTTCAAGTTGCTCTTTCTCCTCATCTAAATGGATCTCTGAACCTTGAAGAAAGGGATGTGATATAAGACGACATCCTGTTTAGGGCTGAGCATTCCAAAGTCTTTTACCCCCTGCCCATTGCAAGTTTCTGTGTTAATTACCATTTACTGTAAGAAGCTTTTCTGATGAGAGTTGAATGAGACACTGAACTGTGGGTATGTTATTAGGAGTTGTTTTATTGCTGTGTTCATTTAGCAGAATAATAATTGTAGATTTTCCCCTAGGGCCCATGACCTATGTAGCCCCAGGTTCTTGTCCTCATTAACAGTGTCAAGTATGGGGTTCATCTCATAGAGGATGGGAGGGCTCAAATCCAGGTTTAAAAGATGGGTGATTATTCCCCTAACATGTAAGCAACTATTGAACCAGTAGACCTAAGTTGCAGGAAAGTCCTTAAATTGTGGCTCATGGGGTTCATAGCCCCCATGATTATTACTTTTCTCCTCTGGTGTTGTCTGTAGCACTTTTAAACACTATGAACACTAGCTAGTAAGATGAAGCTTCTAGCTGAGCACCAGCTTGGTTATTCTTTAGTAATAGGGTCTTAGGGCAAGCTGTGGAGGGCAACCAATAGCATTGGTAATATCCTGTAATGCTGGGGGGCAGGGCATATGTGGGACCCCATTGACCAACAACTTAAAAATAATGTAACCCATTCCTGTTATTGGGTTTACTTGGTAGTATGTGATGTCTGATTTGGGTATTACACCTGCCCCCAATTAAATGGTAACACTATTTAAACTCCTTTTATAGATGCATACATTTCAGGATGCTTTTACAGTAATTTCTTTTGGAAGTCTTTCAGTGTTGTCCCTCCCCATAGTCCCTTCTATATCCTGCCTTGTCTTACTTTAAAAAACAAACAAAAAACAAAAACATTTAGAATTACAATATCTTTTTTAACCTTAGCATGTTTTCATTTTGTAATTATTTTGTTAATCATTTTTTTTAGTAACACCACTCTGAAAGTAAAGGTTAATTCAGTATTTCTCCTTTTCATCCATTCCATTGTTTTTTCAAAGCATGATATAAGGAAGAGCATTTCATTATCAAACAGTAGTGGTTACTAGGAATGCTTGAGTGCTAGTAAAACATCCTTGCTTTGTTTTTCTTTCAATAAGGATTGATATACCATCATGCTGTGGTTTTTTTTTTTTTTTAATCCTTTCTTGATAGTGAACTGAAGCAATTGCTATACCTCCAGCATGGACATTAACATATTCCCCCCCCCACACACACACATCTGTAGTTGTACTTTCAACAGTACAGTTGCCCATAAGTATACATGGACAATTCCATATATAAATAATTTATAAAGCTGAAATGGTTGTGACCTGCCTGGGACAGGAATCACCGTCCAGAATACATGAAACAGATGATGCTCCTTTCAACGTCTTGTAAGGTCATTAGTCTTTGTAACACTATGTCATCATGCCTTACACTGGCCACACCTCATCTTGTCATGTGGGTATTATACTGTCTAGGATCACAAGAAC